GAAGAAGAAGAAGAAGAAGAAGAAGAAGAAGAAGGAAGAAGGAGAAGAAGAAGAAGGAGGTGGCCGAGGAAAGCAGAGCCTGGGTGATTGATGGGGCTCTGTGTGTGTATATGTGTGCATCTTTTGTGCCTGTGTATTTTTCAATCAGAAAGAAGAGGCTTATCTCTCCTTTTTAATTGATTTTAATGCAGCATAGCCAGGCTAGATCAAATCTCAGCTCCTCTGTGGCCTCAGATGAATAGTGTGAGTGGCTACCTGAATATTAATAAGCGGCTAGGAGTAGCTAGGGAAGCCATGAAAGTCTTTCTCTGCTTGGTCAGCTTTCTGTTTGCAGCCTCCCAGCCTTAGGGTGGCTTACCATGATGGGCCAATCCATGGGCCTTCAGGTGGTGTAGGTGTGGGAAGGGGGTCATTCAACTTCTAGCCTGTGGGGGCCATGCAGAGGCTCTTATGTGTATGGCTATCATTCTAATCTGGAAGGCTTCCATCTGGCCAAGGTCTGGTGTTAGCTTCATATTGCTATAACGAAAGAGAAGAGGCAGGTGACTTGTGAAGAGGGGGAAAAAATGACTTTTGGGCTCAGGGTGTTAGAAGTTCCAGTTTGAGACTGAGTGATCCAACATAGCAGAAATGTATGGTCAAGGGAATGGCTACATAGTGAGTCAGGAAACCAACACAGACAAGGCTGGTGTCTGGCAATCCTCTTGAGCACACGCCAGTAACCTAAGGGTCTAGCTGAGGCCCTGCCACTCAAAGGCACCACCATGTCCTCATCGCGCTACCTTGGGGACCAGGTCTGGTGCCTTTTCTGGTGCCTCCTTTGCACCCAAACCTCACTGGGCTCTGCTTTGCATGAGTTTGGACCAAGAAAATGCTTAGCTCCTAGAGAAAAAATACCCAGAGTGGTTTTTATTGTAAAGCCAGAGCTAGAGTGACTTAATTGGTCTAGAGTGGGCAGGACATTGATAGAGTTGGAATATTGTAAAAGTAGGTATTTATTTATATATATAATTGAACTGCCACACTATGCTTATTTTCTTATTTAAATTTAAATTTATTTTTGTCAGTCATGTCCCTGCATTCTCTTTTTGTTCAAGGCTAGCACTCTACCATTTTGAGCCGCAGCACCACTTCAGATTGGTGGTTTATTAGACATAAGAATTGGAAGGACTTTCTTGCCCAGACTGGCTTTGAAATGTGATATTCATATCTTAGCTTCCTGAGTAGCTAGGATTACAGGCATGAGCCACCAGCACCGGGCAAGTAGGTGTTTTTTAAAGATGGGGTAGAAAAGAAGATTGTCTTTGGAAAAACAAAGGCCCCTTTCAGTGTTTAGCAACTTGTCTTATCTTTCATGGTGGGACAAGGCCTCTATGGCCTCTTCCTGTGGTCACCAGAGTTGTACCAGCTTAAGCCCAGTACCCCTAAATTCCACAGAGCATCCTGTGACCCACAGAAACCCAGCTGGCAGGTGCATGGGTAAGAGAGGGGTACCTCTCTCTCTCTCTATTTCTTAGTCCTTGTCTCCTTCTTATTATTCAATGAGGAAAACTAGATCGGCCTTGTATGCAATACATGTTTATCATTTCCTCATAGAGACTTGAACTACTCAAGGGGTTGTTTTAAAATATTTCTAACTCTGAAAAACACTTTCCATTACCAATAAAAACGTATTTCTTTGTTTTTGCAGACACATACAAATGTTGTCAAAGCCAAAGCCACTGAAACACGCATCTGCACAAACACCTTGCCTAAGACCTGTGAATGATCTGCGTCTTTCCTGAATTAGCCTGCTTTGAGAATGCTAGCAGAAGACATGCGATTCCTGGGGTAGAGAGGAAAGCCAAGCCCCTGAGCAGGAGGATTACGTGGCCTTATAGGGGAGAAACTCAGAGCTTAGGACACCCAAGTCCTAGGGAGCTTCCTTCCTCTGCCACGTCCATTGTTTCTCTGTGAGACTGTAGTCATCCAAGGGGTTCTGGACTTTCTCTGAATCTCAGGCTGTTCAGAAACAAGCCTTTGACCTGTTCCGTACCTCTGTGAGTCTGGGGCTAGGACAGGAGCAAAGAGTATGTGCCAAGTGCTGGTGGCTCACGCCTGTAATCCTGGCTACTCAGGAGGCTGAGATCTGAGGTTCATGGTTCAAAGCCAGCCCAGGCAGGAAAGTCTGTGAGACTCTTATCTCCAAATAACCACTAGAAAATCAGAAGTGGAGCTGTGTTTCAACACAGTAGAGGACTGGCTTTGAGCAAGAGCTCAGGGATAGCACCCAGGCCCTGAGTTCAAGCCCCACAACTGGCCAAAAAAAAAAAAAATGGTTTAAGAAGATGGCTGTTGTCTGTCCTGTTAAAGGATTTCAGGTGAGACTGGTTCATAACTTGCTTTTCCTTCCTCCCTGCCTGCCTTCTTTCTCTCTCTCTTCCCTCTCTCCTCTTTTCTTCCTTCCCTCATGCTCTGCCTCTCCCTCCCTTCCTTTTTTCCATCCTCTTTTCTTTCCCTCTTTCCTCTCTCCCCGACTCCTGGGTGAAAGAGGAGCCCAGCACTGACATCTAATTCTTTTTCTTTGATCAGTTTGTGATAATTATTTAGAAAATTGGTGTGAGCCAAGCCTAGATAGTACGCAATAGGTACCCTGCTCCTGGGGAGCTTCAGTACCCACAGACCAATGGAACCCAAATTCTTTCCTCTCCCACCAACATCTGCATACATACCCCCCCACACCCACATCTAGACTCTTCTCCTTCCCTCAACTCTTCCCCTGTAAGATATTTTAAGGTATATTATGACTATAGGAGGCATAGAGAGGAAAATAGTAGTTGGAGGCTAGACCTGGGCAAAAGCTTAAGACCTTATATGAAAAAGTATAAGATCCTATAAGGCAAATAAATAAATAAATAAATAAATAAATGGGCTGGGGCATGGCTCAAGTGGTAGTCTGTGTCTGCCTAGCAAACATGAGGCCCTGAGTTTAAACCCCAGTACCACAAAATTAAGTAATTAAACTAATTAAAGAGGCAAATTATAGATAATGGCATTAAGCTAAACGGGAGTTTTTTAATTACATCCAATCCTATTACCCAAAGGAAACCAACTGAACTATTTTCCATGAATAGTTTTGGCAGCTTGTACCATAGAACTAAAAGTTTTTTCACCTCTATTTCATGGTTTGTTGACTTTGGACAGTATCTATTCATTTTTTTCTTATGAAATGTGATAAATTTAGTGTACTTCTTCCTCTTATTGCTTCTAGCTCTCTTCCTACTTTTGTTGTGCTGTTTTTAGTTCTGTTTTTTAGCCTTACAACATGAGGTAATTTGCTCAAATTTTGCATGTGTTGCTTTGTAGCTTTGAGTGTCCCCACTAATCTACTGTGTAAGAAGAAAAAGTTTGAGGTTGGGTAAGGTGGTACATATTTGCAATCCCAGCTATTTGGGAGGCAGAGTTAGGAGGATGGAGTCCAGCCCCAGCAAAAGTTTAAGACCTTATCTGAAAAACAGACTAAAAGCAAAAGGAGTATGGATTTAAGATGAGTGCTTATTTGGGAAATACAAAGCCTTGAATTAAAACTTTACTGCAGAAAAAGGAAACAAGAAAGCGAGTGAGTGAGAAAATAAGAAGGAAAGAAAGAGAGACCAACAGACAGAAAGCAAGCAAGAATGAAACAAAGGAAGAAGAAAGAAAAAAGCAAGCTTGTTTCTGCTTCTTCTCCATCTGTGTTTATGGTCTGACTTATTTTATAGGACCAGGTGCTTTATCAAACTCATTACCGAGCTCTTTTAACTTACAACTTCTTGTACCAGGTTCCAGCATTTGTAAGCTAGAAGTTTGTGGCTTTGCCTGGTCTATGTCAACATAAATTTTCATAATATTCTGATTAAGGGCTGAGGATGTAGAGCAATTACCTAACATGTGTAAGGCCTAGTTCTGAGAAGAAATCTACACTGACAAATTTTGGGCTGAAGGTATAGCTCAGTGGTAGATACTTGCCACAGGTGTGCAAACCCCTGGGTTCAATCCCCAATACCACAAAATGGATATAATACTCTGATTACATAAACATTATGCAAGCTGGCCCCTTGGAAGGAATTGTGTTTCTGAGTCAATAAACTTAGGCTTTATGAAGACATAACCTTTGAGGTCAGAGAGATTCTTTCCTTCTGTCAAAAGACAAAATTACACACATACATGGAAGGACAAAAGGTGAACAAAGGCAGCAGTGGTACTCAGTAGACACACTGAAAATGAACTATACAACTTGTAGGAAGGGCAAATTGGGAGAGAGCAAGTGAAGAGATGATATTGCCCAAAAGAACTGTATTCATTATCTGACCTATGAAGTGGTAACCTCTCTGTATATCACTTTAATAACAGTATTTTTTAAATTACTATAATTTAGTTCAAGTATTGTAATTGGACAGCATCCAGGCCTTGAGTTTAATTAAGCCAGAGTACTGACATAAAAACAACAACAAAACAACCAACCAACCAAGAGGTTTCGGGTCTGAGAATGTTGGTGGGCAAAGGGTCCTCTTCGGTGCCATGGTATGTTTGGGCTGAGGAAGACCATCACTTCCCGTTCCTCCTCTGGGCCACTTCTCTGTACTCACCTGTTTCATCATGCCCCTGTGCTTTTGCCCAGTGTTCCTTAATTCTTGCAGGTTCTGCTAAGTGCTCGAGGCTCTCCTCTGGGCTTCCCTTTCTGACCTGTAGCTCAGAAATGACTACATGGGATTGCTTTACCACTATACTCAGAGCCTTGAAGGATGGCTCCTCTCTGACACTAACACCTGACTCAGGGCCTGCCCTGAGCAGGTAACCAATATAAATTTGCAGAATAATTGAGTGGTGGATGGAAGAGGGGGTAACTAAGGCCTCATAACACAGAGTGTCCATAGTACGGCCTCCATGAGTATTAATCGGAATAAATCCAAAGAGGCCTTGAAGGTTATCTGTGATGTCAATGTCACCATTGGCTATCCTTCATCTCACACACACACACACACACACACACACACACACACCTCAGAATACACTGAAGAGATCTTGCTTTGTCCTGCCCTAAGCACTAATTCCTTCCCTCTCAAAATGCTCATTCTCAGGTCCCTTGATATACTACAGTGTAATAAAAAATACATTTTTTGGTCTTTTTCCTGAGTCCTTGGAGTCCTGGGTCCTGGCACATACCTCCTAAAGTCTGGAACTTCCAGAGCAATGTTTTGTATGCTAATGAGATGATGCTAGAAAGCTTCAGGATAGGGGCTGATCACATCAGATCGCATCAGAAGACTCTGATGTGATTAGAGGGTTGACCTTTAGGGAGAAGAGAGATGCTGAAGGTCAAGTTGGTCACTGGTGCCCAGTGGTTTGATCCATTATGCCTGTGTAATGAAGGCACCTTGTGGACACAAAAAAGATCAGGCTGAGGAAGCTTCCAGATTGCTGACCCAATGGGGAGGTACTAGTGAGGCAGTATGCCCAGAGGCTGTATGGAAACTCTGAGCCCTTTCAGCTCCTCCATCTGGCTGTTCATCTGGATCCTTTGTATAATAGACAGGCAGGTGAATGTACAGTGCTCCCCTGAGCTGTGTGAGCTATCCTAGAGAATTAGTTAAGCCTGAGCGGGAGGTCATAAGAGCCCAGATTTAGTCATTTGGGCAAAAGTTCAGGTCACAAGGTGGGGCTTGTGACTGGCATCTTGAGGGATGCACCTTAGGTCTGTGAGCTAGATGCGCTCTCCAGGTTGCAGTGTCAGAAATGGATTGAAAGACAGGACACACAGCTGGCACTCACTGAAGATGTGCTTAGTGTGTGGGGCACCACCCCCGCACATCTGGTGTCAGAGGAGTAGTGCCGAGTGCCTTGAGAACATAGGAGTTAACTTCGATTTCTTCTGACTTTAGCCTCTGTAGGCTCCAAAGACCATATCCTCTGGCCCCGCCCATGTGACCCTGTCACATAAGGCCCTGTCCCACAGCCCCCTTCCCTAGATGCAGTACCAGTGGAAATCTCAGCTTCCCACTGTGATTTCAAAAGATGCTGATCTTTGTCAGTTGCATTAATGAATCACAGCCCAGGAGGCACCAATCTTCCTAAAAATAATCTTGATCTTCTGTGCAGAAAGAAGCTGTGAAGGTGTGCATCCTGGGGAAGCCAGCCTGCCCTGCTGGGTCTCCCCATCCCCACCTTTCCTCCCTGGCCCACCTCCACCTATCCTGAGCTGAGCTTGAGCCTGTGTTAATGGGGTACAGAGCCAGATGTCTAAGAGACAGCTCCAGTCTACCCATATATTACAAAGGGGGAGACTGAGGCCCAGAGAAGGAAGGGCCAATAGGGTTGGGAAAGGGTTCTATCTAGAATGCTCCTCTCTGGTTAGCATTCTAGAGCTTGGCTGGGGCTATAGGTTCAGTGGAGTGTGAGTCCTGGAATGAATCCTCTCTGATGGGGCCCCAACCCCCTTTAGATTCAATCAGGAGCTCCTACAGGCTGGGGAGAATCATACAAGAAGCCCCAGGATCCTTGGGCTGTAGTGAAGCTGCCTTCCTTGGGCAGGTTTATGCTTCTCTAGCAGAGGAGACTAGGAATGGCCCTTAGGATGGAGAGAGGAGAGAGAGGGGAGAAAGGAGGGATGGGATTGGGGAGAGAAGAGAGAAAGAGTGGGAGAGATGAGAGAGAAGGAAAGAGAGGAAGAGAAGAGAGAGCAGAGAGAGAGGAGAAGAGAGACAAGAGAGGGGAAGAGAGAGAAAAGGGAAAGAAAGAGAGAAAGAGAGGGAGAGGGAGAAGCTTGTTGGGATTGCAGACGTACAGGCCTGCCCCAGAACTGCTGGCTCAGATCCCC